TTTGCTAAAATATTCAAAATCTACATGGCAATGAACAAAAAGTCATCTTATACATGAAAAATGGTGTATAAATGAGCCTTTGAAAGCTGGATAAAACAATAAACAAATAAACAAGGGGCTTATTTTTGACCGCCAATATATCTGAATGGTACCAAAATCCAACTTTATGCGTCGTGGGATCGATATTAGCCCCCTATCTGCGCCTGAAAACAGCCGCGACTATGGTGTTTACCTTGATTTATATCCATTGTAATTCACACCAACCCCCAAACCGTACTATCAATGCGTTCCCACGAGAGGAACGCCCACTCGGCAAATCCGGGGAGGTGAAATTTTTTCCAACGTAATTCGGAGCGTTGGTATTACATTACACAGATAGCTTACCTCAGTAAACGGTGGAATTGCTTGTGACACCAAAGCATCAGATTTTGTCCGATCAGCTCGTGCAGATAGTTCAGATATGACGGAATGATCTGATTCGGTTAGTGGAGAGAGAAGAGGACCATCACCGTAGCCGTATCCCAATTCATCGCTGAAAATACTTCATTCACTTCTACTCTTTTCAGAACCTTACACACTCGAATTTAAACTGGATCTCTTCCCTTCTCGTGCAATCGGAAACGACAGAACATCCTTACGGACTTAAAACCTCGGTCCTCCCCCCTTGCCTAGTATTTTTCCGGTTAACTTTTACAAATACTGCCTGAGGGATGCGACCCATATTCGACTTCCATTACTATCTTATCGGCACCTTTTGATTTTGTATATGGCCTATGCAATGACTTGCGATGGTCAGCCGACGTACATGTCAGTGCTTTTATCCTCCCAAATGGGTCTGGTATCAATTACCGGAAGGATGGAAAACTCGGTTGGTCTAGACGGATATCGATCCGGGATTTGAACCCGTGAGCATGCACGTGTGAAATGCGCCACTTGCCACTACACCACCTACGCTCTACTCCAAAAAAAGAAGAACGTGAAGCAGTTAGACGAACTTAGACCTCTGAACTTCCCCTTATCGAACAGGTTTGCTTTCTTCTCGATACTACTCAGCTTCCTACTGCCTTACTTGAGCTACATGTAAATTACCGCCAGATAAGTAACAAAAATCAAACTCAAGTCAAAAACCAGCCCTGTAGGGACATAGGATCGTTTCTCATCCCAAAACTTTCGACAGTTGCCGCCCTACTCAAAACAGCAAATTATTTTGTAATATTGTAACGTGAACTTTGCTTCGACTGTTACAGTACACCTATGGAAGAAATGTTTACTATCAGGAATCAAGAAAGACAAACACCACAGCAAGACAAAGAGGATGCAATCAGCTAATGATGACTACAATACAAGGTAGTTAGTCAGAAATCATAAAAAACAAGGACAAACGATTTCCGCTTAGAACCATTCAATTGTATCCCTGATTCATGTGCTAGTAAACGATTCATTACATCACCGTGTATTATTTAAGTAGGTAGAGGTATGAGTAGGGAAGAATGAAAGATTATTAGGCGTGGAAAGTACAAACACAACGTCATAAGGTCCAATACTGATCGGTACATAGGATGTGGTTAGGCGAAGAAGCACAGAAGCTCATCAAGTATAATTCAGATAGTCTAACTACCTATATAAAATAAGGAAATTTATTGCAGTGTAACAGATCGAAGCAAAGCTATGGAAGGTCCCTGTTGGGCAGTAAAAGGTAACTCATAAAAAGCACAACACTTCCTGGGGCAGCGTTCACAACTCCAACTTTTCAGACTTAATAAAACTTAATTTTTTCTAACATGATAGAACTAAATTTTGTAGAAAATTTTCTGGACCTGAAAAGTAGCAGTAGTCAAGAGTTGCCGCTACCACAAACACATGACCTTTTCCTGGTCAACCTAATGACAGAAACTCTGATACGAAATGGATAACACAAGTTGAAGAACACGTGCCACAACCCAAAAAATAACAACGCTAAAATATTCTTCCTACCAGTCATCTAATGTTAAAGGCACAGTTCACGAAAAAATGGTTTCGGAGATTTGCACATGGTTTGTATTCGACGCCCCCTCTGATACCAACTGTGCAGGAATGAGGTCGG